TGCAACCACTTCGACAGACGATATTAATTACTCATGCACTTTTTAAAAGAGCAGTAGAATAAAATATTTCGATGATGTTGGTTGTGAATTTCTGTCCTGTTAAATAATAACGCAAAATCAAAAAGATACTCAGAGTGGATGTAAGAGAAAAATTCTGAAGCCAACAGAAGTTTATGCAAATTGTAAGCCAAGTAAGTGGCATAGTTTAAAACTAGAGATGTTGCCTTAACCATGAACTTAATGAAACTTGTTTCTGATTTTGCTATCTTGCTGTGGAAGCCGTTGGATAGAGTAATGACAGAGCTACCGAAGTCTTGACGGAGCTCGGTACGCGTTAGGAAGCTACCTAGTTTTTCATTCCCACCCACGTGGCTAGAATTATGAATTATTACAAAAACTAAGAAGCACCGGAGCCGAGATACGGAGGGTTCCAATTTAAGTTCTAATTGTAAGGGGGGAGTTCTTTTATCATCACAAAAATTAAATATACTTAAAGCATAGCTGATAAAAATTCCAGGGCGAAACAGAATGAGGGTATGAGTGGGTGGAGGGTTCCAATTTAAGTTCTAATTGTAAGGGGGGAGTTCTTTTATCATAACAAAAATTAAATATACTTAAAGCATAGCTGATAAAAATTCCAGGGCGAAACAGAATGAGGGTATGAGTGGGTGGAAACAAAAAATGAGGGGAATCATGGTGAGACAGGAACGTTCTCTTTGACCGCTGCTCTCTGCTGATATAATTATATGGCTATACATAGCCATCAAGCAGATGTGTGTCAGGGGTAAAATGAGTCCTGAATCTGACTCCTGGATGAATATAAAGTTGCTGGTTACGCTTTTCACCCCCCCCCGTATTTGGCCACATTAGTAGATGCTGTGAGAAGACGATGTATAGGACGTGCTTGAGCAGTTTATCTCAGTATTTCACTCTTATTGTACTCGCTGTCACTTAACGCACATTTAAGAACACAAATATTCCTTCCTGCGAGGATAACTAATAGCAAGCATCGATAACAATACACTAGATACAATGGCACGGCGAGAAATTGACGCGTTCCTAAACAAACTCCCCTAAATTTATTTAAATTATTAAATTTTCTTAAAGGGAAAGGTTTCCGCATGTGAGTGAGGGGACTTTACTTGAACGTCTCATGTTCTCATGAGTTCGTAAATCTAGGGAAATAGAGTATTGCAAGGTCTACTTATTGTTCAACTAAAACGTTAGGAATTATAAATTTTTTCCCTTTAAATTCCTGTTCAGTTTTACAACAAGAAGTACCGAAGCTCATCTTATTAAGGGCTCCTGGGCGCTCCGGCTAAAATTGTATCGATCTTAAAAATTGTGAAGCACCGGCACAATTTAAGCACTGGTCAAAGCTAATCTACACAACAGAAGTTTTATGGTTTCGTTACTTTTAATACATTGACTGCCATATGAGTTCTACTTAACTCTATGGCAGCCAATATGTTAATCTTCCCTTTAACCTGGAAGTAACCTCATAACCATTTTGTTCCACTAACTTGCAGTTGCAGATTTGGGTGAAGAGATTCTATTCATTCTTGAGAGGGGGAGTAATAAACAGTTTGTCAAATGCTTTGGCTCTTAGCAGTACGAACTGGATGATATTGTATGTTCATAAATAAAGTGTGTTAATGAATAAATGTATTCCGAAATGGGGTTGATTAATTTCAACTTTTAAAGAGGCATTCACGTGGAAACTAGGCGTCATAGTCGGAGAGAGCTTATTTGCATTTTTTTTAGTTACCAATATCTGTGTCATATTGTAAGTGCTCAGCTTTGAAGAGGAAAATCGAACTAATCTCGAACTTATTTTTAGTGAGATAACTGAAGCTATTATTGCCAATGTTTCGTTTCCATACATATATATATTTTCTTTTTTATACACACGGTTTTTTCCTTTTCATGCATGCGTATCTCAAAATGTGATAACTAAAGTAAGGGTTAACAAAATTAAATTAATTTTGAATAAAATTAGATAAATCGAAAGCTTTTACATCATCTTCTAAATTCGAATTAACCAAGTTTACTAGAATTACTGAATTACTAGAATTTCAATCTATGTTAAAATAATTCAACAATGTGGTCAAACTTCATATTAGTAGTAATAATTAGTAGTATTAGTAGTATTAAAATTTAGGAAAATTGAATAGCCGAAATAGCCGAGTATTTATATCACTTAAATAGAAGTAAAATAGTTTTGGAATAGAAAGTAATGTTTCAAGAAATTTAAAAATGATAATGCGATTATTAGAATATTTGTAAATAAATAATTTTTGTTACTATTAAGCTATATCCCGGAGAGTATTCCTATATTACACAAATTTTGAAAGTTTTGCACAATAACTTCAAACTGATTTTAATAAGAATAATCTGAGAAAGAAAGAAAAGTTAGAGATCTTTACAATACTGTAAAAAGCTTTCAATTAGACAGAAGAGTAAATGACTAAAAATATATGTCTTAAATAAATGAACCAGGAAAGAACGTTTTGAGGAGAGACTGCAGTTTAATATTAAAAAATTACTTAATATAACCGCATTTTTTTTCAAAAAAAATGCTAGTGTAATTTTCTTATGCAGTTGACTTAAGGATCAACTTGCGAGGATAAAAGCTAACGCTAAATCATTAAACGCAAACCGGATTATCAGATAATTTATGTTTCTTCAAGTGCAAGATACAGCTAACATTCTGGTAGTGAGTGCCATTTAGGAAGATCTTAAATACATCGCATCGAAATATACTGCTAATGTATTTTCTGCTGTCCCAATAGCCCTTATCTGTTATAAAAGTAATATTGCAATAGTAGTAAACAGCAGACATGGCTTACAAGTGGAAATTTTTAAAACTGCTAATTATTTAATATACTTTAACAAATGGAATAACCGAATGTTAAAAAGTGTGGCGTAGAACAATTTCTGTTTTCAGGAGGAGAAATATTTCAGAAATAAAAGTATTTTTAATTATAACGCCAACCACATTGAAAGGATCAAAGAGCTGCAGTTTGGTATGCCTGATCTATACAGTGCATTGCACTGCGCTAGGGAAAAGGGGCTTCTAGACCAAGACTCAGGATGCCCTTACACGTTTATAATGTCCTAATACTTAGAGGTGATCCAAGGATGCATAACCCCCGGTCAACCCAGGGGGACAAAATTGCTCACTATCTGGGAATAAGTAACACAAGTCGATGATAATCGACGTCACCAACAAAGAGAACATAGAATATCGTAGTCTGTCCCTCAGTATTGACCAGGCGGAGTCAAACTCCAAAGGACAAACTTCGATATTAAATCATGTAACGCTCCCACAATCAAGGGGCAAACAAGACAGTACTAGTATGGTCCCTGCCGAGCCTGAATCTATCACCGAATAAACAATGGTTCTAGTCACTGTGAAGACTGATTATCTACTCCAGAAGTCGAGTCTGATTTAGGTACAGGGACCCCAGGGGATCCCAGACAGATCATCGGCAGTTGCTCCCCAGTCGACCCGCAGGGAAAAATAAGGCCTGCCCAAGGAGTTTGCTCACAGAAAGATTAACAGTTAAACTAGTTGGTCAGTTTGTAAGTAAAACTAGAATCCACGAAAAGTCAATCATGGATTCGAATCCTAGCTCCAATAATTCGATTCAAACATGTCGACAAATTTTAACAATATCTAACAAGCATATGATCTTTAGTAGATATAAATATCTATCTTTTAACCATACTATATATATAAAACCGTTAAATAGGTGTTTCAGAAGGATTAACGAGTAAATATCTTTTGGATGGGAGCAGGTAGTTAATCCTAATTTAATTAATCAAATAAGACAGTTTTTTTTTTTTAAACGCGATAACATTTTTCATATGTCCTTTCAGAAAAGCGCACAAAACTTACTTTTTACAATGATTTGGAATAAAATTAACAGAGAGAAAAATGTTTTTCATATCTGAATTAGTCAAACGAAAAAAAAAATTCAAATATTGATACTCGTGTACTAATGTTGCATGGCAAGTAAGTTTGTATCGGAGAGCTATTTTTTAAAAGATCCCCTTTTTAAGACAGAAGAGCGAAAAATACTATATAAATAGGGATTTAAAATTCGTATTTACAGAAATGCTAAAATCCAAAAATTTGTGCTGAATGCAATTCATATTTTGTACGGCCCTTTTAAATTGCTGCGTCTCTTTTTCCTTTTTTGTTAGATAAAAGTAGTTTAAATCATAATTTTGAAAAGATTTTGTTTCACATGAAATGCTTCATAGGATAAGAAAGGAAATGGGAATATCTTTTTAAGTGTAAAGAATTTAATTTTATCTCTTTCTTTCTAAAGCTTGGAAACTTACCTTATTTGATCTATTCTTTAAACTGGGACGTCCAAAAAACATTTAATTATGCAGTTCTTTTGAAACGTTTTCTATATAATAGGTCTAGCATTAAAAACAGAATATTGGTTCTGTAAAAAGAACATTAAAAATAGAATATATTATATCTGCACATTCCAAATTACGACATATCTTCGCCACCTCTAATAGTCTCCAAAATTATGTATATTTCATCTCATTTAAAATACCCTATACTTACTTCCCATCCAGACTAACCTCCAAAAAGAAGCAAATAGTTAAAGCTATTTCATTTTCTACTTTTTCAGAAAGATTTTTGTGCTCCATAAATAGAACCACCTTCATTCAAGTTAAATTAATCATAGAAGTCATATAAAATAATCCCTTCCCTCTTCGGCTCAGTTCATTTTTGGTATAATTATACTGATATTGATGATTGAAAGATGAACTCCATTTTCTTTCTGACTTATTCTTTATTTGAAATAGTTATTTTTAAATCTGAGTGTTGTATTATTTAACTAGCAAACAATATCTTTAAGTTATGCCGGAAGAACTTTCATATTTATCATTTCATTGTAATTAGAAACATTCACAAACAAGAGCTGTGATGAGAAATAAATTGCGATTTGCAATGATAAAAAGTTATTGCTTACGTAACATATGAGAATCGGCATGGCATATAAAACACTGAACATTATTAATGTTATCCAGTTTATCAGAGACAGGAGAACCTGGAGGTGAAATTTCTCACTTGATGTTTCTGGTATTTTGTGTGTTATGCCGGTTGCTTCAAAATCAAAGAGAGTTTCTCTCAGGCAGTAAAACTGGAGTAATCTGAAAATGTAGAGTCCAGAATCCGTTGGGCAGGCTAATAAAAAAGAAAAATTTGTTGAAAAAACAAATCAGCAGGTTTACATTTTTAACCAAGGTCAGCAGAAAGACAAGGTTAGGCATTTGTCACCACTGGAGTCAGTGACATCACTTCACTTACAGATGTGGGAGAAACAAGGCACGGTTACATTTAGTTACCGAAAGCAGTAGTTACTTTGCAGCAGATTATATGAGCCAGTTACGTCACAAGTTCGAAGATTTCTGGCCAGGAAGAGCAAACCTTGTTGTACAGCAACTTTAGATTTTTATTTTGCATTTCTTAAAAGATTCAAAGTTTTGGGAATTTTTAAGGATTTAAGTATATTTTGTAACTGAAGTCTCCTGAATATTATTCTGCAGAAGAATAACTACTTTGCAATATATTTAATGATTTTCTAACATCAGAAGAATCGAGAGGGCTGGCTTAATAACAACTGTTGAAGAAGAATAACTACTTTAGATTTTTGTTGTTACTTATAACAACTGTTGTATCTGCAGAAGACTTGCAATATATTTATGATTTTCTAACATCAGAAATGCTGCTTTTCCCTGATTAGGAGCTTTTCTAGCTGAGATATGCTGCTTTTCCCTGGGTTATTCTTATACTAACAACTGTTGTATTCTGCAGAGAATAACTACTTTGCAATATATTTAATGATTTCTAACATCAGAAGAATGCTGCTTTTCCTGATTATGGAGTTATTCTTAACTAAAAACTGTTTATGCAGAATATAACTACTTTGCAATATATTTAATGATTTTCTAACATTCAGAAGAATGCTGCTTTTCCCTATTATGGAGAACAACTGTTGTATTCTGAAAACTACTTTGCAATATATTTATTGATTTTCTAACATCAAGAATGCTGCTTTTCCTGATTATGGGTTATTTTATACTAACAACTGTTGTTCTGCAGAAGTAAACTATTGCAATATATTTATTATTTTCTAACATCAGAAGAAGCTGCTTTTCCTGATTATGGAGTATTCTTATACTAACAACTGTTTATTCTGCAGAGAATAACTACTTTGCAATATATTTAATGATTTTCTAACATCAGAAGAATGCTGCTTTTCCCTGATTATGGAGTTATTCTTATACTAACAACTGTTGTATTCTGCAGAAGAATAACTACTTTGCAATATATTTATGATTTTCTAACATCAGAAGAATGCTGCTTTTCCCTGATTATGGAGTTATTCTTATACTAACAACTGTTGTATTCTGCAGAAGAATAACTACTTTGCAATATATTTAATGATTTTCTAACATCAGAAGAATGCTGCTTTTCCCTGATTATGGAGTTATTCTTATACTAACAACTGTTGTATTCTGCAAGAATAACTACTTTGCAATATTTTATTGATTTTCTAAATCAGAAGAATGCTCTTTTCCCTGATTATGGAGTTATTCTTATACTAACAACTGTTGTATTCTGCAGAAGAATAACTACTTTGCAATATATTTAATGATTTTCTAACATCAGAAGAATGCTGCTTTTCCCTGATTATGGAGTTATCTATAAACAACTGTTGTATTCTGCAGAAGAATAACTACTTTGCAATATATTTAATGATTTTCTACATCAGAAGAATGCTGCTTTTCCTGATTATGGAGTTAATTCTATATACTAACAACTGTTGTATTCTGCAGAAGAATAACTACTTTGCAATATATTTAATGATTTTCTAACATCAGAAGAATGCTGCTTTTCCCTGATTATGGAGTTATTCTTATACTAACAACTGTTGTATTCTGCAGAAGAATAACTACTTTGCAATATATTTAATGATTTTCTAACATCAGAAGAATGCTGCTTTTCCCTGATTATGGAGTTATTCTTATACTAACAACTGTTGTATTCTGCAGAAGAATAACTACTTTGCAATATATTTAATGATTTTCTAACATCAGAAGAATGCTGCTTTTCCCTGATTATGGAGTTATTCTTATACTAACAACTGTTGTATTCTGCAGAGAATAATACTTTGCAATATATTTAATGATTTTCAAATCAGAGAATGCTGCTTTTCCCTGATTATGGAGTATTCTTACTAACAACTGTTGTATTCTGCAGAAGAATAACTACTTTGCAATATATTTATTGATTTTCTAACATCAGAAGAATGCTGCTTTTCCCTGATTATGGAGTTATTCTTATACTAACAACTGTTGTATTCTGCAGAAGAATAACTACTTTGCAATATATTTAATGATTTTCTAACATCAGAAGAATGCTGCTTTTCCCTGATTATGGAGTTATTCTTATACTAACAACTGTTGTATTCTGCAGAAGAATAACTACTTTGCAATATATTTAATGATTTTCTAACATCAGAAGAATGCTGCTTTTCCCTGATTATGGGAGTTATTCTTATATAAAACAACTGGTTGTATTCTGCAGAAGAAGAAATACTTTGCAATATATTTAATGATTTCTTAACATCAGAAGAATGTTTTCCTGGAGTTAACTGTTGTATTCGCAAAGAATAACTACTTATATTTATTGATTTTCTAACATCGAAGAATGCTGGATTTTTTAGTTATTCTTATACTAACAACTGTTGTATTCTGCAGAAGAATAACTACTTTGCCAATATATTTATGATTTTCTAAATCAGAAGAATGCTGCTTTCCCTGATTATGGAGTTATTCTATTTATACTAAACAACTGTTGTATTTGAAGGAAGAATAACTACTTTGCAAATATTATTGATTTTCTAACATCAGAAGAATGCTGCTTTCCTGATTATGGAGTTATTCTTATACTAACAACTGTTGTATTCTGCAGAAGAATAACTACTTTGCAATATATTTAATGATTTTCTAACATCAGAAGAATGCTGCTTTTTCCCTGATTATGGAGTTTATTCTTATACTAACAACTGTTGTATTCTGCAGAAGAATAACTACTTTGCAATATATTTATTGATTTTCTAACATCAGAAGAATGCTGCTTTTCCTGATTATGGAGTTATTCTTATACTAACAATGTGTATTCTGCAGAAGATAACTACTTTGCAATATATTTATGATTTTCTAACATCAGAAGAATGCTGCTTTTCCCTGATTAGGAGTTATTCTTATACTAACAACTGTTGTATTGCCGAAGAATAACTACTTTGCAATATATTTAATGATTTTCTAACATCAGAAGAATGCTGCTTTTCCCTGATTATGGAGTTATTCTTATACTAACAACTGTTGTATTCTGCAGAAGAATAACTACTTTGCATATTATATTTATTGATTTCTAACATCAGAAGAATGCTGCTTTTCCCTGATATGGAGTTATCTTATACTAACAACTGTTGTATTCTGCAGAAGAATAACTACTTTGCAATATATTTATGATTTTCTAACATCAGAAGAATGCTGCTTTCCCTGATTATGGAGTTATTCTTATACTAAAACTGTTGTATTCTGCAGAAGAATAACTACGTTGCAATATATTTATTGATTTTTCTAACATCAGAAGAATGCTGCTTTTCCCTGATTATGGAGTTATTCTTATACTAACAACTGTTGTATTCTGCAGAAGAATAACTACTTTGCATATTTAATGATTTTCTAACATCAGAAGAATGCTGCTTTTCCCTGATTATGGAGTTATCTATACTAACAACTGTTATTCTGCAGAAGAATAACTACTTTGCAATATATTTATGATTTCTAACATCAGAAGAATGCTGCTTTTCCCTGATTATGGAGTTATTCTTATACTAACAACTGTTGTATTCTGCAGAAGAATAACTACTTTGCAATATATTTAATGATTTTCTAACATCAGAAGAATGCTGCTTTTCCCTGATTATGGAGTTATTCTTATACTAACAACTGTTGTATTCTGCAGAGAAGAATAACTACTTTGCAATATTTAATGATTTTCTAACATCAGAAGAATGCTGCTTTTCCCTGATTATGGAGTTATTCTTATACTAACAACTGTTGTATTCTGCAGAAGAATAACTACTTTGCAATATATTTAATGATTTTCTAACATCAGAAGAATGCTGCTTTTCCTATTATGGGTTATTCTTATACTAACAATGTTGTATCTGCAGAAGAATAACTACTTTGCATATTTAATGATTTTCTAACATCAGAAGAATGCTGCTTTTCCCTGATTATGGAGTTATTCTTATACTAACAAATGTTGTATTCTGCAGAAGAATAACTACTTTGCAATATATTAATGATTTTCTAACATCAGAAGAATGCTGCTTTTCCCTGATTATGGAGTTATTCTTATACTAACAAACTGTGTATTCTGCAGAAGAATAACTACTTTGCAATATATTTAATGATTTTCTAATCAGAAGACTGCTGCTTTCCCTGATTATGGAGTTATTTTATACTAACAATGTTGTATTCTGCAGAAGAATAACTACTTGCAATATATTTAATGATTTTAAACATCAGAAGAATGCTGCTTTCCCTGATTATGGAGTTATTCTAACTAACAACTGTTGTATTCTGCAGAAGAATAACTATTGCAATATATTTATGATTTTCTAACATCAGAAGAATGATGCTTTTCCCTGATTATGGAGTTATTCTTATACTAACAACTGTTGTATTCTGCAGAAGAAATAACTTACTTTGCAATATATTTAATGATTTTCTAACATCAGAAGAATGCTGCTTTTCCCTGATTATGGAGTTATCTTATACTAACAACTGTTGTATTCTGCAGAAGAATAACTACTTGCAATATATTTAATGATTTTCTAACATCAGAAGAATGCTGCTTTTCCCTGATTATGGAGTTATTCTTATACTAACAACTGTTGTATTCTGCAGAAGAATAACTACTTTGCAATATATTTAATGATTTTCTAACATCAGAAGAATGCTGCTTTTCCCTGATTATGGAGTTCTTATACTAACAAATGTTGTATTCTGCAGAAGAATAACTACTTTGCAATAATTAATGATTTTCTAACATCAGAAGAATGCTGCTTTTCCCTGATTATGGAGTTATTCTTATACTAACAACTGTTGTATTCTGCAGAAGAATAACTACTTTGCAATATATTTAATGATTTCTAACATCAGAAGAATGCTGCTTTTCCCTGATTATGGAGTTATTCTTATACTAACAATGTTGTATTCTGCAGAAGAATAACTACTTTGCAATATATTTAATGATTTTCTAAATCAGAAGAATGCTGCTTTTCCCTGATTATGGAGTTATTCTTATACTAAACAAACTGTTGTATTCTGCAGAAGAATAACTACTTTGCAATATATTATGATTTTCTAACATCAGAAGAATGCTGCTTTCCCTGATTATGGAGTTATTTTACTAACAACTGTTGTATTCTGCAGAAGAATATACTTTGCAATATATTTAATGATTTTCTAACATCAGAAAATGCTGCTTCCTGATTATGGAGTTTTCTTATACTAACAACTGTTGTATTCTGCGAAGAATAACTACTTTGCAATATATTATGATTTTCTAACATCAGAAGAATGCTGCTTTTCCCTGATTATGGAGTTATTCTTATACTAACAATGTTGTATTCTGCAGAAGAATAACTACTTTGCAATATATTTAATGATTTTCTAACATCAGAAGAATGCTGCTTTTCCTGATTATGGAGTTATTCTTATACTAACAAACTGTTGTATTCTGCAGAAGAATAACTACTTTGCAATATATTTAATGATTTTCTAACATCAGAAGAATGCTGCTTTTCCCTGATTATGGAGTTATTCTTATACTAACAACTGTGTATTCTGCAGAAGAATAACTACTTTGCAATATATTAATGATTTTCTAACATCAGAAGAATGCTGCTTTTCCCTGATTATGGAGTTATTCTATACTAACAACTGTTGTATTCTGCAGAAGAAAACTACTTTGCAATATATTTAATGATTTTCTAACATCAGAAGAATGCTGCTTTTCCCTGATTATGGAGTTATTCTTATACTAACAACTGTTGTATTCTGCAGAAGAATAATATTTGCAATATATTTAATGATTTTCTAACATCAGAAGAATGCTGCTTTTCCCTGATATGGAGTTATTCTTATACTAACAAATGTTGTATTCTGCAGAAGAATAACTACTTTGCAATAGATTTATGATTTTCTAACATCAGAAGAATGCTGCTTTTCCCTGATTATGGAGTTATTCTTATACTAACAACTGTGTATTCTGCAGAAGAATAACTACTTTGCAATATATTTAATGATTTTCTAAACATCAGAAGAATGCTGCTTTTCCTGATTATGGAGTTATTCTTATACTAACAACTGTTGTATTCTGCAGAAGAATAACTACTTTGCAATATATTTAATGATTCTAACATCAGAAGAATGCTGCTTTTCCTGATTATGGAGTTTCTCAGAAGATTATGCTGAGCTTTTCCCTGATTATGGGTTATTTTATACTAACAACTGTTGTATTCTGCAGAAGAATAACTACTTTGCAATATATTTAATGATTTCTAACATCAGAAGAATGCTGCTTTTCCCTGATTAGGAGTATTCTTATACTAACAACTGTTGTATTCTGCAGAAGAATAACTACTTTGCAATATATTTAATGATTTTCTAACATCAGAAGAATGCTGCTTTTCCCTGATTATGGAGTTATTCTTATACTAACAACTGTTGTCGAACTAATTTTCAAACAAAAATCTCTCATTTTAGCTCTTGAACGATCAGGACTAAAATTTAAGAAGAGTCTATGAAAATTCAGCTTCAGTTTTTCCCCCATTTTCTGGAAAAAGTAGTAATTTCATTTGGAACTCGCAGAAGCTCTAATGTGACAAGCTTCAACATTTCTTTATAATAAAACTGAATTGCGATATGAAAGTTTTTACTATTAAAGTAACAAACAAATGCTATATGAATCAGTAAGACTAATTTAATTATATTTTTAATAAATGGAGAGTTTTACATTAGTGGATACTGTAGAAAGACGATGTATGGACGTGCTTGAGCAGTTTATCTCAGTCTTTCACTCTTATCATACTCGCTGTCACTTAACGCGCATTTAAGAACACAAATTTTCCTTCCTGCGGGAATAAATAACTGTAACTATCGATAACAATACACTAGATACGACGGCATGGCAAGAAATTTCTAAACAAACTCCCCCAAATTTATTGCCCTTCTTAAAGGAAAAGGTTCCCGCATGTGAGTAAAGGGACTTTACTTCAACGTCTCATGTTCTCATGAGCTCGTATTTCTAGGGAAATAGAGTACTGCAAGATCTGCTTATTGTTAAACTAAAACGTTAGGAATTCTAAGTTTTTTTTCTTGAATTTGTGGCTCAGTTTTATAAAATGAAGTACCAGAGCTCATCTTATTTAGGGCTCCGGTGCGCTCCGGCTAGAATTGTAATTTATCTTAAAAACTGAGAAGTACCGGAGCCGGGCTCCGGAGCAATTTAAGCACTGCATAAAGTCTTCGCAAATTCAACGAAAATGAAAGAAACGGTAAGAATAAATATTGCTTTTACAAACAAATTAGTCTGAAAAAGAGGTGCCGTCATCTAGTATAAAACTGATTTAACGAACGAAATTTCGGTAGATCGCCATTTGGGACAATACCAAAAAATCTTCATATAAAACTGCTGCTTTTCTGAATTAGAAACAAGTGCCTATATATCCATTAAAAATTAAGTATCTATTCCTCATACAATTTCCCTCATTTACTTAAATACCCAGTTTTGTCGATGCTAATCTGAAACTCATATCATGAATAGATATCTGCTGAGTTCAGTTATAAGATGGCCAGTTTCTGTTTGCAAAGAAGACTGAACACATTTATCAAACAATCATCTACTCAGTCATATTTAAAGAAAATGGAGATGAAATACTTTTTAACCTTCTTTACAAAATATTTCAATTAGTTTACTTTTAAAAAATTGAATTAATGATACCTAAAGGAAACTTTAATATAAGTAATAATACATTTATATCAAAACTAGAATTTTAAAATGGTTAAGGATTCTATAGAACACTAAAGATTATTGAACATATTTTTTTTTTAAATCTGCTTAACTCTATTAGCAAATCAGCCTATAATAGACAAATTAAAAGATTACTTGCCACTACATGCATCTTCAAATGGATTATAATATGAAGGGCTACAAATACTCTTCAACTGGTAAGACAAGGTACCTCCAATGGCTATAAATGGAATGGAATGTGTTAATAATACACTGAATAAATTTCAACTTACTTCATCACTAAAGAAGTTATTGTATTCAGTTTGAAAGCAAAAGACAGAATTTCTCGTACGCAGCTCTTACTAACGGTTATTTATTTTCCTTTAAAATTAATTAACATATGAAAGTATACAATCGTAATTTATATTTAGTGCTTATTTATCTTACACTCAAGGGGGGGGATGACCCTAGATATTTCATGATTCTCAACATTCGTTGCTGTTCTAATTCAAATTTTATTTCAAACTTTTAAACAATTTAGTATCGAGTAAACATCAGTCCTTTAAAAATTAATTTTAGATACGGTTTTTGCAAAAAAAAAAAAAAAAAAAAAAAAAAAAAAAAAAGAAAAGAAAAGTCAACTAAAAATGATAAGATAAAATACTTGGTACTACTGAAATGAGATACTATTAAATGAAAAGGCATAGTTACATTACTTACAGATAAAATGCTGAGTCTTAAAAGCCATAAATAATTAACTACATAAAAGATTAAGCCTTCATCCTTCATACATATTGCTGCGTGCGTGCGGGTTTATAATAGATTGAATACACACAACTCCTATGATAGGTTAATAAAATTTATGTTATCAAAAAAAAACTCTTCAGAGATCTGGAACTTTCCCCAAAATAGTCATACAACTCTTCATAATGTCATAAACTACAATAAGTAGTTACACTTCAAACTACTATGAACGTTAAAACTAACTCCAAAGCGCAGCTGAGCCGGAGATAGTACTCGGAGCTAGCATTAAGCTAACAACAACAATTGACAACAAGAGATACTTTGATATCATGTTCTCAGTTCTTGTTACTGTTAAATGCTCTCACTATCCTTACATAGTTTTCACCCAGCCGCCTGGACATTTCTAGTACTTTTCGTTTCTCGAAATTACTGGAAGGCAACATGAAGGTCGAATCACAGTTACAGCTAATATAGCGATTAATTACATTTATTAAAATTTATTAAATTACAATACCTACTACTATGATACAGGGACCGGACCAAAATATCACCAAATCGTCCCCAAATGCAGGCGAGTTTTGGCAATTTCTCGCCAAATTTGAAGAATACCCATTTACTCAATGTTAAGTTGACTTGCCCCTGTATTCTTATTTTTCCGGTATAGCTTGCCTTTCTCGACTTTTCCTGTTACATTGCACAGAAAAATACAATTTCACATGTAATTTCACTAAAATCATCTACATATACTAATACGTAGTTAATACTAATACGTAATTAATACTAATACGTAGTTAGGTTACTATAGAATAAAGCACTTTGGTTTGCAGTTCTTAGTAATATATGCAATTAGTGCTGAATCTGTAATTTCTTCTACTGGAATGAGCTCGCCAGCAGCTCAGCCCACTTAGAGCATTTTATTCTCGAAACTTTCCTAATTCAAATAATAAGATAATGTATTTCCTATACTAGTCGCTATGCGGCCAGCCTTCGTCTGGCTTTTAAATGTACCAGAAAAATGATGCCAAAAGGAAACACCATCAAATTTACAAATTGCACAGAATTTTACTCTGCAGAACAACTTTATATATATATATATATATATAAACCAGAAATTTCAATAAAAATTTATTATATATAAAAAAATTAACAATGAAATATTCGTTATATTCGTAAATATTCGTTAACATAAATATTAATTATCCTAATAAATAAATTAACCTACTTCCCGTTGTAAGACTTTCACTGTGTAAATCTCAGTTACTGTAGAAAGTGACGAAACTTAAGAACTAGATAGCGAATAATCGCTTAAGTTCGGGTGACAAGAAACAACAAGATGGAAGGGTTACTAACCCATTATTATTCCAATAAGATTTAACAAAACTTGGAAAAACGTCTTGGAGTGTACAATCAAAGCCGACACTTAGGCTTGAACTTAAGAGACTAAGAATTAAACTAAAGAAATAATAGCCGAAGCGATCAAGATTCTAACGCAGTTGGCCTCTTAAACAACAGAAGACTGCGAAGCTTATCAAGGGCCAGAGTACGGCCGAGCGTAATAACAGCTTTGAGAGAGAGAGTTTCCAAAAGGCAGACGCACGTAAATCAGAAACTCTGATTCTCTCTCCCTAAGACCAAAGAACTTCGCGGTTAAATACCGCTCTTCCTCATTATGTATTCAGACGTGATTCTAAAACTACGTTCTGGCCGGAAGTAGTAAGTTGAAGTTAAAAATTTGACAGGAAAGGAACTTTAACTTAAAATTTAACTGTTTATAAAATTAACATAATCCTTACACCGTTACAAAATCTTAAGAATTTAAGTGCTATAAAAGAAGTTAAGAACTTTATTTCTTAAAAAAAATCATGCAAAACTCTTTATATAACTAAAATTATATATAATTAAAACATAATATAAAAAAATTACAATGAAATAAGCAATAAATATCATATTTTCAAGAGAAAACAGACAGCAATCCGGTATCCAAAGCAATGAATGAAAAACTGTTGCCAAAACCACATTTATAAAAGAATGAAACTATTCAAAATGAAGCGATTTCATCAAAAAAGGTAAAATAATAATAATAAAAAAAAATCTGATTCAAATTTTGAAAAAATCACTTCTAGGTGCACTGGCTCCTGTCTAGATGCACTTATGTACCAAATTTCGTAGCCCTCGGTCTGTTAGCTTACGCGCAGCATGAACGAAAGACACACCACACACAGACTCTTTCTTTTATAAATTAAGTTACTAAGTTTTATAAATTAATGTAGAGATTAAAATAGTGATATCTTTAAAAGAGGCCCTTCCGCATCAGAAAGATTTTTTTAGTTATTTTACGATGTAAAAGAGTTCATATATTCTTGTGAATACTTTATTTTGGTTGGGTGGAGAGAGAGTTTCTATTCTAATTCAATTTGTTTGTTAGATATTAAATTCTCAGAAAAAGTTAAAACAACTTTCTTTTTCTTGGCTACATATAAAAGTCTGAACGACGCATTTCAGAATATGCTATCACTGTTAATTTACATTCCAATACTTTATAAATAAAACGTAAATTAGGAAATTTTTCTTAAAAATTTTAAGTGTTTTTCAGATTTATGAAATATTAATACAAAGATAAATAAAAAAAATATTGTTAAATTTCAAATTTTGAAGAAATATCTTTCGAAAATAGAAAATAATATCTTACTCAGTTCTGCCAGAAAAGGTATCAAAATGCTGAGAATAATCAACAAAGAGAAAAGAAAAGCAAACTTGAAGACTATTTCTGAAAAATAAAATTGTGTTAAGAAGCATGTTATTTGTTCAAGAGCTAATACATTGCATTACTAATATTAACTCGGAGGAAATGTTAAATGAAAATTAATTCAAAATGGCATTACTATAATTGTGCAATACAATCCATAAACCTAAATTCTGTCTGAAGCTGTATTTAATAATGTAATTATAATGTTCTTTAAAAATAAATGTTGGCCATTGTTGAAAAAAGCATGTTCTCTTAGAATAAAAATCTCAGAATCTCTCAGAAACTGCAAATTGTTAATTAAAAAAAAAATTCTTGCACTAAGCTTAATTACAAAAGAGCTTCTAAATCCAAATTTAATAAATGGAATAGTGTTTGCTTTCAAAGATTACTATAGTTAGAAATTAATAAAGGTAAGTTTTAAGTGTCTTCGTTAATCGTTTTAAAGATTATTTGCAGTAACAATAAATAATAAATCAGAACGCTTCAGTGAGAAAAAAGAAATTAAGGAGAGAATTATTTCGATAGAAATATTGCAGGTTAATTTCTTATACTCAATAACCTAAAATTTAACACGGAATATAAAAAGTAGAAAATCAGAAAAAATGATTCTTAAACATTAACGGATTTTCCCCTTTGTATATAATTTTAATACTTCGAATAATTTTCAAACATATTTTTATACGAAGCTTTTGCAAAATTTTCCTCCTCGTCGCCATTATTATTTTTTTTCGTGAGACTGGGTAGCTAAATTTGATTTTTTAAATTAATAAATGAATTTTTTTATAAATAATAAATCATTTCAGTTTTAAGATTGTAAATATAAAGTCTAGGAATACTATATAGAAATATAAACTGTGGTCTAAATTTGAGTTCTTTTCATTCTCAACGCAATAGAAATTTTCGGCTTATAAATTGGATTACTCGTGTTTATGTTTATTATTAGTCCAAAGGGTCCCCGAAGGACTATTGTTTTCGTTTTAGGATTTTGCGTTGAATCACTATAAATGTCCGTTTCACTTTTCAAACTGTTGCCACCAAATGTTAGAGTCTTGCATTATATTTGAAGAAATTAAATAATGAAAAATTTGCATAAATGTATGTATATTTCTCGCATTGTGATAAAACAGCTGTACATAGAGCCATCGAATTTTGAATGACGTAATCCTCCTACGAATATGGGCATGTGGAAGCCCAAATTTGAAATTTGGAATTTGTTTTATGATCGATTTCATATTTTGTAAAACTTTAAGAAATTCTTGATTAACAAACTTAAGGATTTCAAAGCGAGCAATGGCAGCTTTCTACGGGAGAGGGGGGGGAAGAACCTTTTTATCTCCAGCGCGTCAAACTGTGTATCGGAAATTCTAAAGATAGGCTCATTTTAAAATTATTTTGGGACATTGCTATTGAACTGAATTTTATGGTTTAAGTGCAAAGAACATGATATTTAATAAATAAAGGTAACACGCATTAAAAGAACGCCTCTTTGAGCGTAATTTAAAATCTGAAACCTTTCAGTTTTTTTTTTTTTTTTTTTCTTTTACAGTTTTTCTCCTTATTATATAGTTGCTATAATCCACGGGGCTCGAAATTGAAAAGGAACTGGTAGAGCTCTAGTCTGGTCACACGAGATTGGATGGACCCGATATAGCAAATCTACAAGCCGTGTGAGACGATACAGAAGGATCTATGTATAAAATATCGATTTTTGTTTCATTCATCTGATTAAAATAAATTATTTTTCAAGCATATTATATTACACTATTCTCAAATCTTCATGCCTACAATGTCTACTCCGCTGGTTAATTGATAAATTTGATAAGCTATCACTGTAAGTTAAAAATAAGAGTTAATATTGTAACTTTATTATATTAATTATAATATTATAGTATGCCTGCAGATTAAAGGATGCCATTCAGTCCATTAGTTCTAGTCAGGCTCATCTATTATATAACATTTCTCAATGTCCAAGAGCTGCTGGTTTCCTTGAGGTCTTGGCATAATATAGTTCTTCTGCAGTGGATCTCTGGCCATTGTAATTCACATGATAACGGTCAGGCAGATTTTTTTTCCCCAAAAGGGTGCCACTTTGTTACACTGTAGAAACCGAGAAGCCTTTTTCGTCACCTCTAAGCTATTTGTAAGACAATTTATGCAGTCGACCTACTACGATGAACTCCTGTGCAAAACTGAAACCAAATATGGAAAAATTGTCTTTTAGATGCATGATAAAGTATTTTCTCCCTCCTTTCCGCACGCCTTCTTAGTGTAAATGGAAGCATACTAGACGCGCATTCGAGAAGTCCAGGTTTCGAGTATCGGGAAAGGAACTGCACATTTTTTCTGTCTCCTGCTTGAAAAAAACCCAGTGACTTTACAGTATAAATCAAGACTGGAAGCAGTAGCTGCTTTTTGAATACTTACCAGACATGATTGCCTAGCTGCTCCTCTATGTCGTCTCGGTGTTCTCCCTGATGTTGTCTGCTCCTTGCATGACAAAAACGAGCCTATGGACCAACATCAACTGCGTGTCTGCGGAGCTCTCCATGGAGATATTGATGCTTCTAGACATTGAGAAGGTAGAAGACTCTTGAGGCGATAACCTCCGGTGTATTGTTATGTAGAGAAATTATCTGATAGCGTTATAAAAAAATTAGGTGAATGATTTTATGATTTATGGAAATTTAAATTTTTTTTTTGATTCTGAATTATTTAATTTAAGGCTTTAATTTTGGGGAAAAACAGATGCTTGTGGAAATATTATTTAGTTTAAAAGAGTATTATTTATTTTCCTCTATTTGTAAATCTTGTACAAACTTTTATTCATTGTGAAAGAAGCAGGGAAAGGGAGGCAATTTTCGCCAAGTCATGATCGCGCGCTTTAGAATGTTCGAGAAAGAATTTTCATTGTTAGTTGACCTTAAGAGAGGAAAGTACGTGACGGAAAGGTCAAAGGTTGCTACTTGTAACCTTCAATGTAAGTCATTCAGGTTTTGGCGATCGGAGGGTCCGGTTGTTGGCTAAGTGAAGAAGGGCGCGCATGCGCGATCACCCTTATTTCCGCATTCAGGGAGTTGAAAACGCAAGATTTTGCCATAATTAATGGGGGCGATAAGTGAAGCCATAGTGGGAGCCCGTTTGGTGAAGGACAAGAAGGAGAAAATTTGAGAGTTGGACACACTCTTGGAACTTTTGGCTGACTCTCGGACGTCTGACTCTTGCTGATTTTTGGGCTTGCTGGACAAAATGTAAGTGACTCGAGAGGTGTTTTCCGGCGGGGAGCGGCAAATATGCTCCCCGGCCGCGTTTTGGTTAAGAGGCGAGACTCTCTTACACACTTACTCTGGACACTCTTACTTTTGGACTCGCGCACTTACTGGTTGGCTGGACTTGTGGATGTTACTCTGGAACTTACTTGGGACGTTACCCGTGAAGCTTGCTCTTGGGATGAGTAAGAACAGGCGAGCCGTAATTTCCTAGCAACAACGTTTCTGACCGGCGAAATTTGAACGAGTTACCTGCGTGTTGACATAGGACTTTCAGGACCAAGCGGATAGCCGTCCTGGGCAGCAGTGCTCCTGTTTCTGTTCTACAGTAGTGAAGTGGGTCTACATTTTTAGAACCAGTGTCAAGATGAGCCCGTCCGACATCAACGCGGGATAAGATAAGAGTCCTCCGCTTCAAGATGTCCCTTCAAGATAAGTTTTATATTTTTTTTGTTTTGTTTGAACTTTAAATCCTCTCACGGCAGAATTTAACACTGGTGCCGTGACCTCTGCTTAGTGGGGGATCGGATCGAGAATTGAATTTGGATTTTGAATTTACCTATTTTGTATAATTTACTTGGTGAAAATGTGCTTTAGCCCACTGCTTGGCGACTTTCAGTAGCGGCGATTTTTTGAAAATCTCCAGTAAACGTTGTATAAACAAAGTTGCGAAGGCGGAGCTATGTGACGTTCATAAATGGGTGGGACTAAAATTGTGACGTCACAATGTATTCTCTACAGGTGTAGAAATAAGTATACTAAATTTTTTGTATTTCAAACTATTAAATACAGTAAGTGAATTGTAACAGTTATTAAAACTGTAAACAACGTCGCAGTCTCTCATACAGGGTGAATATTTTTAAACTTTAGTATTTATACAAATAAAATCAGATTTTTTTTAATTTTAATTTCATATTGCGGAACATTTTAACTTTATCATCTTTACAAAATTACCTTATTGCTACGTAACGACACCATCTCTTACATACTAGTAAGTAAACAATCTTCATTATTTTCTAAAAATTTTTAAGCTTTATATTAATAAAAAAAGGGAAAATATTTATTATTGAATATCAACATCATACACAGCTTTCATTTCCATGTTTCTTAAATTCCTAAACCACGTTCTATACTTTCGTATTAGAATTCTACACATTAATAAATTTAAAAAATCTAATTTCTCACAATGAAAGAAAATAAGAAAATATTAAAAATAAGCAATTTTAAAAAGAAAAATATTTTCACTTATCCTTTTCAGAAAAATAAAAAGTCTTTTGACAATGACGGCAACGTTTCCGTTGCATTTCCAATAAAGTAATAAATTTACATGTACATTCACTCACCTCTCTCAGCATCACAGATAAATCCATAGCGATTGTTTATTTAACGAAGTATTACAGAAATATGGAAAAAAAAACACACAGATAAAACCACTCGATTGATAACTACAACATAAAAACATTCAAACGGCAAATGAATTAACTGCTCAAATTACGAAGTAAAAATTCCAAAATAAATCGTCTGCTTGGAAATTCTTTTTAACTGGAAGTATAGTTTTGAAAGTATAAATTATAGTCTGCTGATTGACAATTTGTCTTCGGACATTTGTGCTTCTCTCCGAAGAAATTTATTCGTATCTAGTTATTAAAAAGCTCTGTGAAAGCCATGGCTTTTCAATATCTAAAGCTACGATAGGTAATATTGTCAACGATAGGAAATTAAAAAAAGACAACAATATAATGAAATTAAAAAACA